GGGGGGGGGTGAACTTTCCATCATAAATTATGTCACGATTTTGCTTATCTTGATATATATGCCATCATTAAAAACTTTACCTTTTCGATGATACCTCAGGCATTTTCGCATTTAAATATATTTGCTCATTCACTACGAACTGCCTTCAATTTAGCTGCACACTTAGTTTGTTCAAACCAATCCCCCAACATTTTTTTGTTTATAGTTTGCAAAGGCTTTATATGTAAACAATGTTAGGCCCTTTTGGGGCAATTCAAGCAAAAAATGCGCGCAATTTTGGTTCTTTTTGAGTTCACACACACATTTAACATCATTCTTGGTGTCTCTATTTTTTTCCTGAATTTGAAATCACACGCAGTGCATATCTTTCCTTAACTATTGTAATGATTATCTATTAATTTGGAGCCATTGCACATACTACACACTTGAAAAAATGATGAAATGTTCCTTTACTGGGTTGTGGAAAATTGAAAATGCTACCCCCCGAAAGTCCTTTGTTAAAGGAATTTCTATGTCTTATGTTCACTTGCAGTGGGTTCTGCGATGTTTAAAGCGCCTTCTCTATCTCCCCTCCCCCCTCCCTTCTACCTGATTTTGAATGTACGTGGTTGCTCATGAATCCACAACACTTCATCAACCATCTAGTTCAATCTGTAGGTCACTAAGCGATTGTTGACATGAAATAATCCAAGTAACCATGGTTCTTATAATGGAAGTAGGGCTTGAATCGTATTCAACTAGAGTAAGCGCTCCTACTTTCCTTATAGACGTGTCTTCGACACCATTTTTTTCGATTCATCATGTTTGGTTGCTATCCTTTGTTTTAAATTTTACGAGTTACTTGTATTGACGTGGGTATTAAGTTGAGAGGGCTGAAGGTGACACTCTAAAGGACGGTTGTTTAACCTCTGGTCATTTTTTAAGATTTGTCGCATTCAACCACGCTAAATTTTGACTTATTTGAGATAGTATGATCGTGACTGTGCATTCAATGCATCAGTACTTTTCTCAATTTTTTTCATGAATAATCCCTCTAAGCCTTGACTAAAGTGTTCGACAACGAGGGTTTGACTTGGTTTGGCCACACCGAAGAAGTTCCGTCTAGTTTGTCTAAGACTTTGAAAATACTTTCAGCTTCCCATTGCAGTCCAGGTTAGGTTTCTTATCAATGTACGAACACAGTCCTCTTTTCTCATCTATTTTGCCTGAAAGGACCAAATTTAAATATGTTGTGCCACGTCCTTTAGATACTGGTCACGGCATCCTCTACGTATCGGACAGCACTGGAACTATGTTCACCGAATCACTTCGTCGCCACTTCTATCCCAATCAAGCCACTGCCACCGATTTCTTCCGAGTTCTCTCAATTCCAGGCACATTCTTGGCCACCCAAATGAATCCAGACACCACGTTGCGCACCGTAATAACTCACAATCGAGGTGCCACATGGCAACCCCTGCCTGTGCCACAAGGGCTTTCCTGCGATTCACCGAAATCCAAAATGATCCAAGGTGAGCAGTCAGGAATTGTACCTGCTGATTACTCCAATTCCGCTGAACGTCTCAAGGCTACTTCGTCTTCTGGTCAGAGCAACTCTAGTGAATCTTTTGAACCGGTGAGTCTTGTTCTTATGCGTTACAGTGTTTATTCCTAATTTTGCAGTCTTATTAACTTGCGCACTGTTATTCCTACTACGTCCATAAGAGTGTACTGAGCTGCGTTTTTGTTGATTACTCACTGTCCACTCATCGCGTGTTCTAGAAATTTCTGGGATCTACCCCTTAGTACATAACGTGTACTTTGCAATGACTCTGCATTTGTTTGTCATTTCAATCCGTCTTTCTAACTTCTATTCTTAGTCACAAAATAATTTAATCAGTGGTCTGCATTCAAATCATAGCGATATGTAATGCTTTTAAGGCGCGAATTTTAATGCCTACTGTTAATCAAGGGTTATGCCTTGCAGCACGTCCAGTGAGTGAAACGGACGTACAACGCGCTGGTTGTGCGCCTGTCTAACAAATCGATTGACAGAATTCACTTTTCTCAATATTTATTTATTTATATCAAATGGCAGGCCCTTTTGTTGACTTCAGGCTTCATAGAAGTGAAGGAACATCAAAGCGAAAAAATGTCGAGGGGGGGGGGGGAACAGAAGAGTGTTTCAAAGATATATACAAAATAGAGACACAAAGGTAGAACAAAGGTGAGGTGAGTACTGTGGAAGTAGTCGAATATGACAAGCAGTTGGGCCATGGTAGTTTGGAGTCATAGGTCAACTGCCAGTTAATAGACTTTTTTGCCGTATGAGTATACGTTGCCCAGGGTGCACCGCATGGAGGCAAGTCTATTGCACGCCCCCTTTTCGCAATATGGGGACCTATCTGTCTTCTCTCCTAACCAAAATAAACGTTGGAAAATGCTTTTCTAAAACCCTCCTGAAAGTCATTGTAAGATATGCAAACTACGGATTATTGGATCTCTAGGTTTGCTATTTATTATTGGGGGTTTGAAAAAGTATGCCACCTTTGTCTCTACCCTCTAGCCCTCTATCTGTGTAGCTATGAGCTTCTTTCTTCGGCTCTTTCTCCTCAATTTGCAAGTTCGCGTGAGTGTTAGTTTTACTGTTGAAGAGTTTCTTAATTTTGTGCAAACATTTCCATATAACTTCCTTTCGATTCAATGTAGGTCTTTCTGTATGCTTTTTTCTTAAAATGAATTTGTCTATTTCCAATATACAATTCCTAGGGGTTATTATAGTCATTTATTAAAATTTTCTTTCTTACTTTCTCAGCGTGATAATGGTACATTTAAGTTTCCCAGAATTTTCATTCCCATGGGAAGCTTTGACTGCCATTAATCAACATACTTGAAAATGGATAGCAAGCACATTGAAATCAATAGAGATGATCCAGTAGGGTTTGTGAAAAATATTTTTCCCATTCGGAGGTATGAATTTGAATTTGCCAATTACAACTAAGTGACTGGTAGTAAGAAAGGTATGGAAATGAGAGCTTGCATTTATTTATTTATTTCAAATGGCAGGCTTTGTGATATTTATCATTAGCCCTTAAACTTGGACTTCAGCTTCCCCCAAGGGTGGGGGGTACATTTATAGCAGTTAATTAATAGCAGTTCATTAGCCGTCTTCTTGCTTCCCATTATCTCTGGCGTTCCGTCGTTTTCTTTAGAGCTGGACACCGAATCAGGTGGGTCTTCTCCATTTCCTCATGTAGGTTACATAGAGGGCATGTGGTTTGAGTGTATACTCCCAATCTGTGAAGATGTTTTGCCAAGCAATCGTGCCCGGTACGTAGTCGAAACTCAGCGACGGCTTCAATTCTTGGCCAGTCGACTATGTCGGAGAGTGCCACTGTCCACTGTTTCTTCTTTGTTCGAGCTTTAAGTTCGTTGCACCTTGAGGTCTTGGATTCTCTTCTGATTAAGGCCTTCATTGTGTGGAAAGACATCGGCCGGTCCATGCATTGCAAAATCGTTGTCCCCTTCTTAGCAAGTGCATCAGCAAGCTCGTTGCCTCTAATGCCACAGTGTCCAGGAATCCATTGTAGAACCACTGTTTCGTTCTTTCTCTCAGCAGCTGATAGAGTTTTCTGCATTCCTTTATCTCAGCTGTTTTGGGTGGCTCTCTGCTTCCAATTGAGCTTGCATGATATACTCCTTTCTTGGTTTGGAGGTCTTATTTTCAACTATGCGGCTTATCAGGACGCGAGTAAAATTTTTAAAAATTCAAACTTCCAAATTTTTCATTTTTCCTCTCCACTCCTATACCTCAAAAAATCACTACCATTCGCCAGTCTAGTTTTGTGACAATGCCCACATTGATTCACCAGTTGCATATTTTCCGCTTTTTTAAAACTACCCAATCAGTGGTAGTATTTTCC